TTTATTTAAGGATATCTCTGATTATCAGCTGACCACTGAGTAATTAAAAAGCCTTTGGTGGCTCCATACAGCCAAGAAGACAGAATTAACTCAGCAGCAACTGAAACAGCAACAAGCAAAACCAGAAAGTCTTCTGTGTTGTGCTAGTCACTCTCTCATGGCTGGAGCGTGGTACCTGACACGAGGAACCTACAGGAGAGGTTTCTCTTGGGTCGCAGACTCAGAAGTTCCAGCCCAGAGTCATCTGGCTCCAAGGCAGGACAGCATGGTGGAAGGGGCTGGCGGAAGGGAGCTGACCACATCGTGGCGGTCAGGAAGCGGAGAGAGAAGGGAGGAGCATAGCAGGGAGAGGCCCCTCCGGTCACACCCAGTGACCGCCTCCTAGTAGCAAATCAGCTCTAGTGGTTCCATGAACTCACTCTTCACCTTCCGAAATCCCCACCTCTGAACACATGAGGCTTTGGGGGATGTCTAAATCCAAATAGTGCGCTGAGAGGTATTTCATTGCTGTTGACTTGTAATAGTATTTAAAGTGTTTAAAAATGTCCAGTTTTTATGAAAAAGATTACAAAATATACAAAGAAACCAGAGCGTATGACCCATACACAGAAGGAAGCAGCTCATAGGAACTGGCCCCGAGGAAGATGAGCTGTTGGACTTAATAGACAAAGACTTTAACTATTTTACAATTTGTTCAAAGAACCTGTGGAAAGTGTTTCCAAAGAATCAAAGAAAAGCCTGAGAAGGATGAGTCACCTAGTAACACAGGGGTAAGTAAATATCAAAGAGAAATCACAAAGTACATTCATACCATGTCATCCTTTGCAGTTATAAAAATAATTTTAAAAAGTGAAAAAGCTGTGTCTTGATAGAGGGTGAATTTCAAGAGTTTCCTGCTCACAGTGTCTTATCCTTTGTGCCCTAGTCTCTCCAGATTATTTTTCCCTGAGACAGGCTCTGTATGTCGTTGAGGCCAGCTTTGAACTCACTATGCAGCCCACACTGGCCTTGAACTCACAGTGATTCTCCTGGCTCAGCCTTTGAAGTGCTGGGATTGCAGGTGTGTGCCACCACGCCTGGCTTGTTTCCAGGTTTTAAAAAGGCAGTACAGCACGCACAGTCTATTGTATGCAGTGCCTGCAGCGCCCTATGCTACACGTGCAATTAGTTCATACCAATTGGAATGCTTATTCATAGCAATGGAAAATTAAGAATCAAAAGGGCCCCACAGTAAGTCTGATTTTACATCCGCTGATTTTGCCTTTAAACTTAGAATAAAACCTTTTGAGTTGTGGAGGGTTTGGATTTTGGAAGAGTGGGTGAGTTTTTATCGGACAGGTAAGAAGTGGAGGAGAAAAGCCAGGTGTAGAACAGAGCAGTACACTGCTGTTTGAAGTCATTCCTCAGCCTGACACCTCTTCATTCTCTAAAGCACTGGATCCCTGTGTCACTGGCTGCTTAGGCTTTGCGGGGGGCGGGGTGGGGAGTGTGGGGAGATGGATCTTGTTATGTAATTTAGGCTGGCCTTGAACTCTGTAGCCCAGGCTTGGCTCAAATTTACAGTGATCCTCCTGCCTTAGCTGTCTGAGTGTGCTGGGATTACAGGTGCCTGCCACCACACCCCACTAGGCTGTTTAGATCTTGAATCAGCCAAGCCTGACTGCCCTGTCAGTGCACAGAACCTGGCTGCAGGATGCTCCTGGTCCCGTTTGCTGTGTTAGAGCCCAGGGGATGGTGGCCGTTCCTTTATCCTGGAGCAGCTCTGAGCTCTGAGCCTTTGCCTGTGCTTCTTTGGTCATCTGAAAAATGATCTCACTCCCTTCTTTGTGACACTGTATCCCTCAAAGGTCAGTATGGCTTTCCTCCTCCTACTAGATCTTTCATAATTTTCAAAAATCACCTTCATCATTTTCTTAGTGCTGGCACTGCTGGACACTTGGGTCCCATCCTTCCTGAGCCTGCATGCTGCAGGCATGGGTTGGATGAGAACATAGCTTGTGAAGGGAAACCAACCGAGTTTAGCATTTCTTCCCAAAGGCCCCTCGTTTGAGTTTCTTTTAGGGCTGCAGTCGTACCCTGTGGTTCATGAGTCGACCATGCCTTCTCGTTTTCATTAGATGTGATGCTGTTGGTTACCGTGGGTTGCAGTGATTGGGCTACTGAGCCATGCTGTGAATTGTGCCGGTGTGGTGTAGGCTCAGTGTGGTGCAGGGTCAGGAAAGCAGGCCATGGACTCTGGGAGACTTGGGCCTTGTGGTGCTGCGTGGGCGTGCACAAGCTTCTTAGCTCCTTTAACCTTGGCTTCGTCTTGAAAATGGGCCTACGCAGCAGCTCTCTGCTTTTTCTGCAAGGATGCAGGGACCCGAAGAGAACGATGAGTAGGCCGCACGCTGTGCCCAGGCGCGATACCCGTCCTAGCGCATGCCAAATTCTTTTCTCCTCCTCTGTGCTTCTCCCCCCTCATCTTCAATTATTTTAGCCTGCTCTGACAGCCCTAGAGTACCTTAGAGATTTGAGTTTTAATAACATTAGATGTTTGGACCACTCTGGTTATTTTATTTTTTGTATTAATGGAAAACTCACCCTTCCTATTTACTTGGATTTCTTACAAACATAAAATTTCTCCTTTCTCCTTTCTGCAGATACTATTAAGGCTCATTCTACATACCAAGCTATATCCCTTGGAGAATAGAAGGAAGTTTAACAGTCTCCATAGAAAGGAAAAGATGGAAAAGGATTTTTTTAATCAGCAATCAGAGCATTTCTACATAGGATCATTCTTGACTCATTTAAAATTGAGATAAAAGTTCATGGCATAATCACATCAGTAGTTTTTGGACATTTTTACTGGGGATTGGGTTTAAGGTTGTATGTCCCAAATATTGTCCTTTTTAATTGTTCTTAGCAGAGATGTGAGAGTCTCAGACACAAGGATTATTGTGGTGACTGTAATGATACAGCATTCTCTTGCCTTTTGGAAAGTAAAGTGGTGCAGTCTCCGTGCAGAGACCGGTGAATGACCATGCTGGGAACCTGGTTGCCTGTCTTGGTGCATAGGTGCCAGGACTAAGGAGAAATGAGATCTCTGAGGCTTAGAAAGACCCCCAAGATCCCGCCACTGCTGTACAGCCCTTCAGAAATGAGTTCTAGAATTCTAGGGACCTTTCCTCTTTTCTGTCCTCTCTCTGCTTCCTGACAGAAGAGCTGTAGACCTCCTTGATTGCAAGTTCTGAGACATTTCGTATTGATTAGAATTCCTTATTAGTGCTGTCACGTCCAGGGCTGCTGCTGCTGCTGCTGCTGCTTCTTTTTCTTCTTCTTCTTTTTTTTTTTTTTCTGTAAAAATAACATTTGTAAAAGAAGTATGGCCTATGGGATTTACTGCTCGTCATCTTAAGTAGTGACGAAGGCATAGTGAAGAGGCCAGGCTCAGGAAGATGTATACCAGGTCCTACAAGTCTCAAAGGTTGAGAGTGAGCAGGAAACACACAAGCAACTGTGTTTGGTATCAGGTAAGACAGCATAGCTTGGCTGTTATTGAAGAGGTGTCCAGCATGGGGAGCAATGAGATAGAGGCTGCCCGCATAAGTGCTGCTGCTTGGCACGTTCAGTGCTCAGTGCCAGCTAGGCAGTGACACGCTGCAGAGCCTGTAAGGGGTCCCTTGCATATCAGTATTGTATAGGGGTTAAAGTGATTGGAATTGGCCTCAGTTTTCATCACCTCTCTCCTTTTGCTCAGAGCTTCCTCACTTTTAACAACTTGGGTCTAGGCACTTCTTATTTTTTGTATGTTACTAAACCAGATCATTGCAAATATTTGTTTGGGCGACATCACTTTAAAAGTTTTGCCTGCCTTAGTCAACAGTATCCACTATAGGGCTGGGGAGATGGCTCATAGAATAAGCGCTTGCCTGGCAAGCACAAGGGCCTGAGTTCAATTCCTGGTTCTGCAAAAAAACCCCAAAAAACCAAAACCAAACAAACAAAAAACCCAAAGAAAAAACAGTATTCAGTATAAGGTATCCTTAAGTATCTGCCTATGAGGATGGGTAAAAAGCCAGCCTTCCCCGGTCTTATGTGACTTGATAAGGTCATGATCGATAAGGTCGATACTGATAGATGTGAAAAGCACACAGACCACTTTAAAATAGTGGATTTTGTGACAAGTGGGTTATTTCTGCCTTTCAAAATGCATGGACTTTAAAACAAAAGTAATGTAGACAACATTCTAGAGGTAAATGTGGACTATTGTAGAAGAATTGTAGAAAATTAATTGTGGGAGAATTTGGTAAGAGGATCATTGAGAAGGGATTTCTTTCTTCTGCTCCTAACTATACTGAAGACAAGAGTTTATGGAACCCACCCAAAAGGAGATGGGGAGAGGCTTTGGAAGACATGCGGTCTAGGTGTACAGCATGACTTGCAGAATACCTAATCGATATGGATGAGATTAGGCTTTGAGAGAAGTGTGGACTGAGTGTGTGCAAGGAGAGTGGGGCAGAGACAGCAGCCAGTGCTCTCCCGTTGCTCTCCAGCGCTGCTTGGAACTTCCTGGTGGGCCCTTGCTTGCTCGCACATACTTGAGTCCCATCCCGCTTCTGGCACCTACACAATTTGGAGGTCTCGGTTGTGGAAACTTGGGGCGCACAGTTCATGAGGAAAGCTGGCCTGAGAGCTCTTCCACCTGGCAGGCAATGTTGCCAGGCTAAAGTGAGACTTAACTTTGTTTGTTTTCCATTAAAACCTAGTTTTAGAAAAAGTTACTGATTGCAAGTAATTTATGTTTTCAATGTATTAGGGGTGGTGTCCAGTCATTCAAAATAAATAACCAGGGAGTCTCTTTATCACTTCATTCCGTCATCACTTCAGTCTTCTGGGCCAAGCTGAAGTCTTTGAACCCAAAGAAATGTTTAGTCACCATGCCGATTAGAGATTGTAAATCCTACGTCATGACAAGCCTAGGTAGGCATGAATTTCTTTTCTTCTTTTTAATTACCCAGAAATCTGAGGCCAGTTACTCAGCTGTATGTCAGTGTGGATGCCAGCACCAAAGACAGTCTGAAGAGAATCGACCGCCCGCTCTTCAAGGACTTCTGGCAAAGATTTCTGGACAGCTTAAAGGCCTTAGCAGCAAAGGTAAGAACTGTGGTATCTTTAACAATAAATAAAATAAGGGGTTGGTGAGATGGCTCAGTGGTCTAAAGCACCTACTTAGAACAAGCTAAGCTCAAGCAAAGCACAGAGACCTCAGTTCAATCCCCAGCACCACATGCTGGCCCGCCCGCCCCCTGGTGGGCTGAGCTGACCACACACTAAATAAATAAATAAGTAAATAAATAAATAAATAAATATTAAAAAAAAACAATAAATAAAATAAGAAAAAAAGAACAGAGAAGCATTTTCTCCTCTTTTTATAAACAAAGAGTAAATAAAATTTTTAGCTTTTTGAGCCTTCTTCTTTTTTTGTTTTTTTGAGACAGGCTCTTACTATGTAGTTCAGATGGGGCTTGGACTCATTAGTCCAGGCTGACTTCCAACTCATGTGATCTTCCTGCCTCAGCCTCACAAGCGTGGGGGTTACAGGTGTGTGCCATCACATTCAGCTCGAGACTTCCTTCCTTGAGGAATATGAACATTTAGTTCACTTAGCAGATTCATTGATGCAGTCTGAGAGGCCGCATGTTGAACATCCCAGGTGGCATTAGATGTACAGCCAGATTCAAGAGTCGCTGTCCCAGAAGACGGCCTTTCCTGTCCTTCGTGAAGCTCAGACTCTGACATTCCAAACCCACCCCTGCCTGGCCTCAGTGTCGATCACCAGACCTGGTGGCTGCTGTGGCCCAGGTTGTGCTCTTCTGCTTTTGCTTCCCTTCTGATGCACACTCGCAGTTTCTTCTGTATCCCTGGGAACCCTCTCCTGGGATCGTGGAAGTCCTTTCCTTTTCATTCGGTAGCTGTCCTGTGCATCCTCCTGGCTCAGCTTCGTGTTGCCTCCATGTGCAGACCTTTCCGGCTGCAGTTACCTGCGTTTTTATTGTTGCGAGTTCTAGATCTATAAAGTTTTTTCTCTCTTGTTTTATCCTAGGCATTCTCTTCTAAATTGGATTCCTTGCCCATGCGTGAATTCTGTAGTGTTTAGCACAGTACAATTTATGGCTTTAATAATTTTCTATTTTAATGAATGAATGAATGGAAACTTAATAGAGTTTAGTATTAATGTATGCATTTTCTGGCTATTAATTTTTTCATGCTCTTTTAGGTCTGAGAAGTTAAATTGAGGCCTTTTTTGATTATTAATACTGATGTTGTTTTAAAATCTAGAAAGAGGTTTTTCACCTATCCTGGATTATACAAAGCTAGAGGCCTAAGTGCTTGTTGGGCTCTCAAAGAGGCCCTGTCTAGTCTGTGCCCTCAGCTGTGTCCTCTTCCCTGGTGACTAGGACAGGAAAGGCAGAGTTCAGAATCAGTGTTTAGCTGAGACTCAGCATCAGGCCCGCAGACCCTGAGACCCATCTGAGATTGTTGTTTAGGGTGGGTTTTGAGTCAGAGCATGGATAATACCTAGCAGGCATTAGCAGACTACCTTCATGACTTTTGTCTTTGGCCAGAATTTCCCACAAAGGAACTTCTCACCTTGAAGTCACCTGCTTTGAGTGTTCCCTGCTAACTGCTCTAGGCTGCATTGTTGGTAGTGATCCAGTGACAGCAAGTTCTTCAATGTTCTCTAACACAGGAGCATTTTAAACAGAACTTCACTACTCCAGGTGGAAAAGGTGCCTTGGCCATTTGCTACTCGCTCACAGTTTAGGGCAGTTGCTTTCTAAGCATTTTGTAGTAGAGTTACTGTGTTTTATTCTTGTATTGTTTATGTTGCCATTTAAGAAAGGTTGGTAGTGGTAGTTAGAAGCTGCTCTTAAAAGGTTTTCTTTAAGTCAAGGTGTTATTTTCTTCAGCATAGTTGATAAGAGGATTGCTGTGAGGTTGAGGCCAGCCTGGACTCCAGGAGTTCAAGGCCAGCCTGAACTATAGATTGAGACCTTGTCTTTAAACAGAAAAGACCAAAAAAAAAAAAAAAAAAAAAAAGATGGGGTTGTTTTGTTGCCTTTAGCACTCACAAAGTAGCCATGTATATTGTAGCTATATTTATTAGCTATAAAAATATTACTAAATCTGATATCATTTGATTTTTAAGCTGAAGTGCTTTCTTAAATAATGAGTGCATCCATACTGTTATCTTGTATTACTTGCTTGGGCATTTTAGTATACCTGAGCAAGGCATGGTAGTAGGACAGAAAATGTTTTCAATCTTACAAACAAGGAAATTTAATTTATCCCCCAATTTTGCATCTATTTATTTATGCTAGTGCTGTCCAAAGTAGAAGGTAGAGCATTTTGTTTATTGACTCTTGGCAGTCACAGTGTTTACATCTCTGATCTTTATCCTTTGTAGATGAAGAGAAGAATGTGTTGGTACTTGAGTATGTGAGCGAAAAAACAATCCTGTCAAGATAACAGGGCAAAAATGTGTTAGCTTCTCCTTCTGTCTGCGATGGTTGCTCACTCACCGGTGTGTTAGGAGGAGCAATCCTCCCTGTGCAAGGCCGCACTGCCTGCCGTCAGCAGCACACCTACGGCCGCAGTGTGCCCGTGTGCGTTTCTGCTGGCTCATAATTATGCCGAAGTCAAGACCCGGCAGGAAATTGAGGCACTTAATCCTTCCCACGTTCAAGCAGCAGCACTGACATTCTTGAACCCTCACATTTAAAAAGGAAAAGACAAACATAATTACCTGTGTTCATGTTTTTGGATATCAAAAACAAGCGTTGCCTTCTTTCTACAAATGTTAGGGTGCTCTGACCGCACCTCGCTGTCGTTCACGCGTCGAGGAGGGCTGAGTTCTGTACCCAGGAGCTGCACAGGCTGGTGCTTACGTGTGGCCCACAATTTGCTGCTATGAAGCAGGTATTTAATATTTGACCTTCTCATGTCTGATTATAAAAATATCTGCAGATTATGAAAATGTTGGAAAGTAGAGAGACATGAAGTAATAAGGAAAGAAATTATCTATAAATCTAGCCTTGAGATGGTAACCATTGACATTTGAGGTACTCCGATATGATCCCTCTTTTGGGACTAGAAAAGGTATTGCTTCGTATTCATGATTCAGTTTTTTGTTGTTGTTGCGTAGCCTCATGCCAACCACATTGTCCCATGCTATTAAGTCTCTCTGTGGTGGTCACTTTTAAGGTATTGTCATCTTCTGTCTTCCTGGTTTTCTACTTTGGGCCAGTAACAGGGAGCAGCCGGAGTGTGTGATGCTGTTGAGCTCCTGTCCCCACCCAGGGGCCTTGGTGACCCGTGCTAAGTGCTTGGGCAGGAGGCCAGCACCTCTGCTCTTCTCGGTGCAGTGTGCACAGCTGTCATGTGTGCGTGCTGGTCCACTCGGGGCAGCCAGAGACGGCCTGGGCTCTCTCACTGGCAGTACGGCTGCTGTCGTAACAGAGAGACATTTGAAACAAGGTACAGAAAGTAGTGGCGCTTTGAGGACTCCGCAGTACCCAGAGGTCAGTGGAACATCACGCTTCCTCCCCTCATTTCAGGGTGAGCTTTCTGTCCCCCTTGCTCTCACGGGCTCCTCTGCTTGTCTGTGGGTTTGGTGATTTCCTGTCTCAGCGCGAGTCTGTTCATGAGCCTCAGCCCATCGTGCTGGTCTGCAAAGCTGCTACATGTGTAGCTATATATCTATGTCTATATCTAATTTATATATAAATATATAAGTAATGTATATTAATATATATTAATTTGACACAATACTGGGTTACACTGTGGCATTTTCTTAGATGTGTATAGTAGGTTTTGATGGTATCTATTCCTAATAGCCTCTGATATGCTCATCCTCCTGATTCTTTTCCTCATGTTTAATAGTTTGCTCTCTATTTTTATGTCTCTGTCTGTCTGTCTGTCTGTCTGTCTCTCTCTCTCTCTCTCTTTTTCTTTCTTTCTTTCTTAGATTTCACATGTTAAAGAAAACACAACCCTTGTCTGAGTCTGGCTTAGTGCGATAGTCTCCAATTCTATCCATTTTGCTAAATGGATAGAGAATTACTTTTTTTTTTTTTTTTTGGTGGAACCAGGGATTGAACTCAGGCCCTTGTGCTTGTCAGGGCTGCGCTTATTCCACTGAGCCATCTCCCTGGCCCCTCCTAAATGGATAGAAACCGCATAATTGCGTTCTTCTTTATGGCTGAATAACACCCCATTATGTATGCATACACCACATTTTCTTTATCTGTTCACCTACTGATGGCATTTAAGCTGGCTTGTATCTGGGTGTATGGATCGTGTTGCAGTGCACATGCTCAGTAGGTATCTCTACGGGGTGCTGACCTTAATTACCAGTTAATCCAGATTTATACTAAGGAATGATACAGCAAAGCCTTATGGTAATTCTGTTGTTAGTTTGATTTTTTTAAATGTTAAAGAGAGAAAAAAGATAAACATAACTTTTTGGGTTTTCCAGTGTGGCAGAGAAGCAGAAGCAAAAGAGATGGGTGGGCTGTATTGACTCTGAGGACGTGGGGAGGGCTGCAGGGAGATGGGGGATCCTCCGGCCTGAGAGAGGAAGGCAGAGATTTTACGGACTTGCTAGGGGTGGAGTTTAGGGGCAGTTGCAGTGACGCGTAAAGAGCTGACTGGGGTCTCCCTTGTGGCACAGGAAAGGTAAAAGAAACTTGTGTTCAGGGCTGGGTAGGGGTCAGGTGGAGGGGGTCCCTGGGAAGATAAGCTGTTGTTTTTGGGATTCAGCCAAGTTGAACTAGGGCCATAATAATTTAGCAGTTTATACTCGGGCCAGAGTGTATCAGTAGCAATGATACCAGGTTTCAAAACAGGTTAGTAGGACAGTTACAATAGTTGATAAGTACCTTGTGTATTCTTGTTTTCCTAGTAGTTATTCAGAGTAGAAGATATAGGTGCTATATCTCGTCTATACAATATTAACGGGGCTGGAGAGACAGCTCAGTGATCTAAGTGCCTGTTTGGCAAGTGCAAGGACCTAGTTCAATCCCCAGTACTGCATGCTGGTCCTAGAACCCCAAGACTCACTGTGCTGACCACTGACACCGGGCGTAGTGGCA